ACGCAGGGCAACGCCTCCAAGATAATTGGAAATAAGCTTACTGCTCCCAAGTCTATGATAAAACCATAATAATGGTCATTAGTAGTACATATTTTGGTCACATTTTCCCAATGTTTTAGTGTTATCTTTTTATGGAGGGCACCATACATTTACATTTCATCTCTGTTTATGCTTGACTTGACAGTACGATGGACAGTCTTCCTCTGCAGTGGATTCCCAACGGTTTATTTAGCGGGCTGTTCAATCTCTACTCGCTGTAAGTTTGATACGGTTCATGTTTGTTTTCGATGTCACAGCAGACAGTGCAAACTCTAATTGCATCATAAGCATTAGCATCAATCCGACTCTCTCCAAAGTTACCGTTAAGCGTTTTCTTTCGAGTTAAGAGTAACATTCCTTAAAGTAGCTGTTAAGCCCAGAAAATATTAATCAGGATGTAATCAGTCATTTTTTATATTTTGATTGAACAGATAATACACATGTTATTGTCACAATTTTGTGGGCTTATTAGAAATACATGTGATAAAAATAGCTGTCTTTGGAGTGATCTCTGTTGTTAGCAATTTGCTGCTAGTGTACGCTCATATTCTATCGCATAACTAACTTCAGCTTGATGAGACAGTAATATTGGCTGTATGACATCATTCGAGATCATCTGTTAGATTCGTTTCGTGTTTGGTAGTTATCCAAGAGCATGAAGTCGCTGCATGCTCTATCCAACATCACACACTTTGTTGTCGTTGATGAATAGCTGCAGTAACGAATATGCAAGTAAACCGATTTTTTGAAGCTCGTTAATGTAAGTCATACCAAAAATCGTTCAGGTGGGACTTGAACCCACGACCTCCTGCTTTCTAGTGCAGACGTGTTACCACTCGACATCCGAGCTTAAAGACTCGGTTGGCTGGTTTGAATATGATGTACATAGCAGCGGGTACCGCATTTGAATATTCATATTAAGATGGAAGAATATTTGCGCCGGGGTAATGTAAATCAATATTAGGTTTAGCCCTTCACCGATATATAAACACTGTATTCTCAGTGTAACCTCCCGAGTGAAAGTTGGTGAAAAATCACTCGGGTGGGACTCGAACCGAGGCCCTCCTGTTCGTGGGTTCGAGTCCCACCCGAGTGATTATTTGAAAAATGGTCTTAATCTGCCCAATGGTTAAATTAAAATGAAATGGCAAATTTACGTTCATGCCTTATAGGCCGTTTAATTGGATAAAGATTAAAAACTGAAAGGAAAATAATTCTTTAATAGTACTATTAACACCAATCTAAAATGTATATATTTTGCAGTGTATTTCAGTTTTGTTATATTCCCCTTTTGATTCGATAGTGAGATGAGAAATCTTCCGCTCGTGTCGATTCCAGCTATTACATTTAGCGGACTCTCCAATCTGGCATGGCTGTAAGTTTGAAATGCTTTGTATTTTGTTTGTGTTTATTTGTTTGTGTTTATTTGTTTGTGTTCATTTTACAGAAGTCCGATCGTGCCAGGTTTTGAAAGTGAAACAAATTATTTTTGCGAAATAACGCAATAATTTGGCGAAAAAACGCAATTTTGCGAAATAGTGCAATAGTATTGCGAAATATCGCAACAGTATTACAAATAATGCAATATATGGAGAAATTACGCAACATGTATGGAGAAATAATCCAATACATTGCGAAATAACGAGATAGCATTACGAAATTACGCAATTAGTTTTTCTGACATGAAACGCAATGCAATCTAAACCAACACGAATACTCGATCTAGATGAGCTAAAGACCCAGATACCAGAGCAGCCTATAGCGAGCTGGTCAAGGAGAAGCTCAACATCTTGATATCACCACTGTCGACGATTTCAACGTGAACGTTGTCGATGCGCTCCAGTCTCCGCTACGCTGCCATGCAAATCGAAATCCCATCGAAAATCGATTGATATAAACGATCCAACGTTGCAGAACTTGTTTCGAAAACGGGAGGAAGTCAGACGTTCAGTAAAATCAGAGAGATCTAATAACCAAAAAACTGTCCGGGCCTATCCTGATCAGAACCCGTCAGCTCACTAATGAGCATTTCAAAAGAAAAGGCTGATCGCAACTGCCAAACTCCAAGTGACTCTATTTAGAACCAAGACTGGCATTACCTGCCTATACCAGACCAAATTCTTGCCTACTTCAAGAACAGCTTCAATCCCATCCAACCCACCTTCCACCCAGCGGAATTCGATCATCTATTGTTGTTAACGACCTTCCTCCAAGAAAATACAACATCTTAGCCGATATCAACCATGACCCCCTTTCCAAAATGGAAATTGAGGAATGCCTCAAACGCCTCAAGAATCGTATAAAGAAAGTCAGAATAGTCCTCCCGAATTTCTTAAATTCATCTACATCAACCCAGCCCCTATTGACGCGATCTACAACCTGACGCCGCAAATCTAGGCCACTAAGCAAATTGCAGAATGTTCATCCCTTCCACTTAGTTTGTGCGCATGCGCCAAAATTTCGGCTATGCCGGTGACTGTCGAAATGGCAGCGCCGCGGAGAGGAAAGACACACCAATTTGCATCTGAAATAATAATAAATATAACGAACGTCCCGTTCATTTTGCTATCAAGTGCAATACAATGCCACCGGATGAAATTGAAAGAGTTTATTTTTTATTTTATTCGTCATATTTTTTGTGATAAAAATTCGATACTTCAAACAAATGTCGTTTTAGATCGTTGTTTGCTTTCCATTTCCATGCAATCATCAGCAAAAGGGCCAACTTAAGTTTTTTTTGTGTACTCCAGTTTCCTCAAACATGTCACTTACCACAGCATTTGAATGAGATATTAAAAAATATTATTACAGGATTTACGAGTTATTGCGAATAGGTTTGCGTTCCTTAGGTGGGTGTTGTTTTTGAAGTTTCCGTCCGTACGTTATACATCATGTACGAACTGCGCGCCGTCAAAAACGATGTCACCGTGCACAGAAGGCCATGTTGGACCGTCCACATGGAGCACTAGCCCAGCTTGCTCCATGCAGAAAATCACGCTGTCCTATGGGTCAGCGGAAAAAAACCCCGTATTTTCGGCGGATACGTCCTTCTTTCTTTCTTGAACTGTCCTATTCGAAATAACTCGGAAATAGTATCATTATTTTTTATGTATTTTTTTACTCAATGGCATTGTCTTTAATTTATCCAGGAAAACTGGAGAAATATTTTTAAAATTCGATTGATTCTCGCAGGGTTTGAAGAATTTGCGGGGAAGAATTTTTCTCATAAAATCTCTTTTTTTTTAAGAGTAATTTTTACATTTGGACAATGTCAGCTCTTGACATGATTGTAAACTTCATATTTAAAGTTCTCAAATTTTAATGAGTTTAGGTCGTCTGTAACTTGTGGATGATTACCCGGTATGTGATATTGTTTTTGGCTGATCAATGGGTACGAAATGGCGCCATCTGTCGTCTGTACGATTTCAGAATCTTTTGGTCCATTACGCATACGGAAAAAAAACTAAGTGGTGCACAAAGGCATGGGTATGAACATACATGAAAAGACCGCCTAAAAGCTCCATCGACGACATGCGAACTCTCCTGGTCCGTATATGCCGATGATTTCATCCTTTTCCTCAACACTGCACCTGCACGCCATACCTCCAAACCGCTGCCGCCCTCCTCAACGACGTTTTCGTCAATATCGATCTCAAGATCAACCTTAAAGACAGAGCCGATGATATCAAACTTCACAACCATCAACCCCAACACCCTCTACCCCTCCTAGGTTATCCAAATCAAAAACACGAACATCAAAACTACCGAGACATTCAAGTACCTGGGCACATTATATCACATGCCCAACCCAACACCAGGGACATCGAAATCAGCTACCGGGTCAACAGCGCACGCACAAATTGCGCCCCTTACAAGGCACTGTTAGTAAATCATTGGATAAAATAATGTGACATTGCTAGTTCCATACATTGGTAGCCTGATTAAAAGTACACTAACCTTATTCCAGCCAAAACTGGAACCCACTGAGGAGGAAAAGACAACATTTGGATGCTGTGTATAGGGACTTTCTACACAGAGTGGTCCGTGGTGGATTTCGCTAAGTCAGCGCATTTTGGTGAGGAACACAAGTTGCACTACACCAATGCCAGAACTCACCAAATCTGCGGCACCTCTGACGTCACGACCTTTATCGGAGATCAGCAAGACAGTTATTTTTTTCATATCATCCGCGGAGGTTTGGACCTCACCACGAATAAGCTGCTCTTCAATTCCGAAAAATATCTGAAACGACGCCGCCCCATCTCAACTCCCCGCCAACAAGTCTGTGCAAACCGACAATGTACAGAAGCCGAACTTTCTCATGAGTATTGAAGTTTCTCGATACACAAGTACCGGTATCCTGCCAATCCTTAGAATAACGAAGCTGTAAACCAAATGAATAAAATGTAGGCCTATAGCAGAAATTTTGTTTTACTTTTCTTCTGAGCAAACTGATATTACGTCAATCGGGAAGTGACATTATTCTTCTGAGCAAATTGGTATAACGGGTTCAATCTGGAAGTTTAATACAATGTTAATTTTCTTTTTGTTTTTAAGCAAAAGAATATATGTAACAGATCATAATAACTGTTACATTCACCACAATGTGGGTTCAGATGATTATGTTGCAATGTTATGTCCTTGAAGTGTAAATTAGAAATGGTTTGTTGTACAGGATGTCTTTAAGAAAGACAAAAAAGGTATCATATCAACAGGATATGAACTTAACGACCATTATTATGGTTTTATCATAAAGTACGGATTTAGTGCTTCACGCAGGGCAACGCCTCCAAGATAATTGGAAATAAGCTTACTGCTCCCAAGTCTATGATAAAACCATAATAATGGTCATTAGTAGTACATATTTTGGTCACATTTTCCCAATGTTTTAGTGTTATCTTTTTATGGAGGGCACCATACATTTACATTTCATCTCTGTTTATGCTTGACTTGACAGTACGATGGACAGTCTTCCTCTGCAGTGGATTCCCAACGGTTTATTTAGCGGGCTGATCAATCTCCTCACGCTGTAAGTTTGATACGGTTCCTGTTTGTTTTCGATGTCACAGCTGACAGTGCAATCTGTATTTGCATCATAAGCTTTGGCATCAATCCGACTCTCTCCAAAGTTACCGTTAAGCGGTTTTTTTTTCGAGTAGCTGTTAATCCCAGAAAATTTTAATCAGGATGTAATCAGTTTTGTTGTTGTTGATATTTTGATTTAACAAATATTACAAATGTTATTGTAAAACTTCTGTGGGCTTAATAGAAATACATGTGATCAAAATAGCTGTCTTTTGAGTGATCTCCGTTGTTTGCAAATCGCTGCTAGTGTACGCTCATATTCTATCGCATAACTAGAGCAGCCGATAGCGATCTGGTCAAGGAGAATCCCAACGTCTTGACATCACCACTGTCGACGATTTCAACGTGAACGTTGTCGATGCTCTCCAGTCTCCACTACGCTGCTATATTCGAAATCCCATCGCAAATCGATTTACATAAACGATCCAACGCAGAACTTGTTAGGGCTTATGTGTGATCAAAATAGCTGTCTTTGGAGTGATCTCTGTTGTTTGCAAATAGCTGCTAGTGTACATAGCTGCTCATATTCTATCGCACAATCTTCAGCTTGATGAGACAGTAATTTTGGCTGTAAGACATTCTTCGAGTTCATCTGTCAGTGGCGTAGCCACGGGGGGGGGGGGGGGCGTGGGGGAGGGGGCGTGGGGGGCGACAGCCCCCCCACGAAACCTTGTCGCCCCCAGTCGCCCCCCCCACTATCATTGATCTACATGACGCCCCCCCCCCCCATGAAATGTTCCAGCCCCCCCCCCCGCCCCCCCCCCCCGGCCCCCCCCCCCCCCCCCCCCCCCCCCCCCCACTGAAAAATTCCTGGCTCCGCCACTGTCATCTGTTAGGTTCGATTCGTGTTTGGTAGTTATCCAAGAGCATGAAGTCGCTGCATGCTCTATCCAACATCACACACTTTGTTGTCGTTGATGAATAGCTGCAGTAACGAATATGCAAGTAAACCGATTTTTTAAAGCTCTTTAATGTAGCTTTCCTGGCAAAGTCCTAACAAAAATCGTTCAATTTAACACGAAGCCCATTTAAATTCGTTTTAGAACGAATGCTCCCTTAAATGAGCATTCGAACAGAGTCGTTCGATTTCATTATTAGAGCAGTATTTCTATCAATAAGTTCATTCAAATTCAAATAGTCGTTTCGTTCATTCAAATTCGTCGAAGGTATCAGAAAGAGGTTGATCAAGAATTGGATTTAATCAACTGGTAAACAGTTTTCACATATCTGCATTCAAAGTTACCGTCTGCACTCCGTGCTAAGTTACCGTTAAGCATTTTTTTTTCGAGTTTGAGTAACACTCCCTAAAGTAGCTGGTTAATCTCAAAGACTTTAATCAGGAGGTAATCAGGCATTTTTAAAAATTGTAACAGATAATAAAAATGTTTGTCACAATTTTGTGGGCTTAATAGAAAAACATGTTATCAAATAAGGTTTTGCCCTTCACCGACGTATAAACACAATCGCGTCAAATTGAACGATTTTTGTTATGACATTGCCAAGAAACCTACAATAACGAGCTTAAAAAAATATCACCTTAAGAAGAAATACATGTGATCAAAATTGCTGTCTTTGAAGTGATCTCTGTTATTTGCAAATCACAGCTAGTGTATGACATTGTTCCTCAAAGTGCAAAACGACCCACCAAAATGTGGCACGATGTGTCGCAAAAAAAATGTATTTGTCCATTAATAAGCTTGTCACCTGGATAAAACTTGTGATAGTCCCTCGTACATTTCACACCCTATTGCTTCACAGCAATTTTGTCTCATAAATAAGGTTTATGTTTGATTTGACAGCAATATTCGTGATGTAAGCCTCGGGTTGATCCCACCTGGAATCACACAAAGATGACCCTGTCCGATGGGTTTTCATTCCCTGTACAAAGTAGTCGTAAAGAATCTTCCCTGTGCTAGCCCCACAACACGATTTCAGAGTCGCGGAAGATACTACGCATCTGCAACAAAACTCTCTTGGAAAAAAAACAGCTCATTGCAATTTCTTATCGATTTTGTTTTTAATCATCAGGTATTCTCTTTATGTGTCCTATTTTTTTCTTCCATGTGTTGTCTTTACTGCCAGCACTGTCGTGCTACGTAATCTTTTTTTTTATGTTTATTTCTTTTTGATTTAGCAATGCATGTTATTTCTAATTATCTCATTCAACTGTTGAACCCCGGTAGACCCATCATCTCCGGTAATGGCTCACCCACGGAACGCATCTCCCTGTTCATTGACAGTTTTCTCAAACCCCTTGTCCCACAGATTTCGTCATACATTCACGACACCCCAGACTTCCTACGCAAGCTTGAAGGAATCAATGACCAGATTCCCAGCACAGCCATCATTGGGACTTTCGACGTCTCATCTCTGTACACCAACATCCCACACGAGGAGGGTGTTCGTGCTTGCTCCTTGGCTCTGGCCAAGGCAGGACACACGACTCCTCCCATCAGTGATGTTGGCACCCTCATGAGACTTATACTAACGAAGAACAATTTTCCTTCCTTGGTGAACACTATCTACAGGTACACGGCACTGCAATGGGCACTCGCATGGCCCCTTCCATGGCTTGCCTCTTCATGGCTGACCTCGAAGAACTCATTCTTGCCTCGGCCCCATGTCGCCCTTGGATCTGGTGGAGATATATTGATGATGTTTTTTTCTTCATCTGGACCAGTGATGAGGACAGTCTCTTGACCTTCACTAACCACATCAATTCCTTCCACAGAACCATCAAATTCACATCGGAGTTCTCGGCTCACCAAACCCACTTTCTGGATGTCACCGTCCGCAAGCAAGGCAACTCACTAACCACTGACCTGTATTCCAAACCCACAGACACCCACCAGTACCTCCACTCCTCCAGCTGTCACCCCAGGCACTGCAAAACTGGCATAGCGTTTAGCCAGGCACTCAGACTCAGAAGAATTTGTTCTCATGATTCCGATTACTCCCGCCATACACAGATACTGAGGAACAACTTGGTGGCCAGGGGTCACAGCTCTTGCCAAGTTCATCGTGCCATTGCCAGAGCTAAAGCTATCCCCAGAAATCTAGCTCTCACGGGTAAGGCCCCTGATGCCATGGCCAAACCCATGATTCCCTTGGTTACCACGTTTCACCCTAACCTCCCTCCCCTTCGCAAAATCACTAATGACAATCATCATATCCTCCATACTTCAGATCGCCTTGCCCGCGCCATCCCCAACGGCCCCACATTGGCTTACAGGCGTCCTCGAAATCTACGGGACTTGATTGTTCGAGCTGAAGTCCCATCCTTAGATGCATCCCCTCCCACCCAGCATGGTACTTTCAAGTGCAGTTCCAGATGTGTTGTCTGCCAGATTCATATCCAGGAGTCTGACTCCTTTTCTGGCCATTCTTCTGTCACTACCCACAGAACCATTGGTAACATCACTTGTAACACCTCTAATGTCATATATCTCATTTCTTGCAGGGTCTGTGGAGTGCAGTATGTAGGTGAGACTAAGAATACGCTCAAGAAGCGTTTCTATGCCCACCGGTCAACGGTCAACACCAAGAAACTAGACACCCCTGTTGGTCATCACTTCAACCTGCCTAACCACTCCATTTCTGATATGTTTTTGCAGGGCATTGAATCTTCTTTGTTCTCTCATCCACCATTCCCTGCATCTTTCCACACCTTTCCCACCTAATCCTCCTTTTGTGTTTCTTCTTTCAGCCCTGCATGTTTGTGTGCACCCCCATGTTAATGTATGTACCTCTGCCATTTCTGTTTTAGCCTCTGAAGAAGAACTTGCTAAGTTCGCAACGTCAGGCCACATTAATTTTTAGATTTTTCTTTGAGTTAACCTTATGGCCTCTCTTCATGGAGCACACATTTATATGCCTCGATGGCAGAAAAAAATCAGTCCTAATCTGTCCAATGATTGAATAAAAATGGAATGGGAAATTTAGGTCCATGCCTTTAAGTAAAACAACATATTTGTGTATCGCGAAATAACTCAATATTGCGAAATAACGCATTAGTTTTTGCAAAATAAAACGCAATGGTTTTTGTGAAAAAATGAAGTCATGCAATGGGTCCGAATTATTGGACCTTTATTGTAGGCCTACTTTGGCAAATTCTCAGCCATATATTATGAGAGATATAACGTTTTGTGGTGATAAAAGCCTACCCGGCCGAGTGAATGGCGGATCCTGGATTTTTTAAAGCGGGTTGACGGAGGGTGTTGACTTTAAAACAGAGACAATTAATAAGAGGGACCAAATATCCAAAGCAATCAAATCGAGATCTTATGACGATTGTTAATCAATAACATCTGAACACAAATGACTTTGGCCGGACTGGAGATGATGGTTAACCACCCTAACAATCCCCACAATCCACTACTGCCTAATACCCCCATAAAAGCATGTCTTAAAAAAATATATGAAAATTACAAAGTACAGTTTTTTTTAACAAACTTTCAACAATTCGTTCATTTCTTCAGCACGCATTAAAAACAAAACACTTTTGTAATGCATATCAATATACGGTTTCAAGTTGCCTGATGAGGGGTACCCTTGTGATCCGTCGATCACTGGACTAGAGTCCTGCCCTACAACAGCCTTGACTGGAGACTAGACAGCCAGCCCGTCACCCACAGTAGAACCCTGAATATAAAAGCACACGTTTTCCCATTCTAAATACCAAATCTAAATGCAAAATATTTGATATATACTTTATATATACTAACAATTCTCAAATCATGCAAACTCAAGCAACTCCGCGGAGTCCATTTCTGCCTCGATGGCAGAAATGAATCAGTTTTAATCTGTCCAATTTTTGAATGAAAATGAATGCGAAATTTACGTCCATGCCGTACAGGCAGTTTAATTGAATAGAGATTTAAAGTTTACATATTTTGCAGTGTATTTCAGCTTTGTTATATTCCCCATTTGATTTGATAGTGTGATGACAAATCTTCCGCTCGTGTCGATTCTACCGGGTACATTTAGCGCACTCTCCAATCTCGACTACCTGTAAGTTTGACATGCTTTGTAACTAGTTTGTGTTAAAGAGTTTATATACTGCAAGCTGTGTTTTATGGAAGCCTGTTCGTGCCAGGCTTTAAGTGAAACACAATATTTTTTATCGCGAAATAACTCAATAATATTGCGAAATAACGCCTTAGTTTTAGCGAAATGAAACGCAATGGATTTTGCGAAAAAAATGAAGTAATGCAATGGGTCCGAATTATTGGACCTTCATTATAGGCCTACTTAGGCAAATTCTCACGCCATATTTTATGAGAAATATAACGTTTGGTGGTGATAAAAGCCTACCCGAGTGAATGGCGGATCCTGGATTTTTTTAAGCGCGTTGACGGAGGGTGTTAAATTCAAAACAGAGACAAATAATAAGAGGGACCAAATGTCCAAAGCAAATGAATCGAGATCTTATAACGAGTGTTATTCAACGAATGTTTTGGATTCTTGGGATTTTTTTCTCCAGTTGGCATTTTCCAGCCTAACATCTGAGCACAAATGACTTTGGCCGGACGGAAGATGATGGTTAACCACCCTAACAATCTCCACAATCCACCACTGCCTAATGCCCCCATAAAAGCATGTCTTAAAAAGTAAATGAAGTGTACAAAGTACAGTTTTTGGCAAACTTTCAACAATTCGTTCATTTCTTCAGCACGCATTAAAAACAAAACACTTTTGTAATGCATATCAATATACGGTTTCAAGTTGCCTGATGAGGGGTACCCTTGTGATCTGTCGATCACTGGACTAGAGTCCTGCCCTACAACAGCCTTGACTGGAGACTAGACAGCCAGACCGTCACCCACAGTAGAACCCTGAATATAAAAGCACACGTTTTCCCATTCTAAATACCAAATCTACATGTGAAATATTTGATATATACTTTATATACAGTAACAATTCTCAAATCATGCAAACTCAGGTTACTCAACGGAATCTATTTCTGCCTCGATGGCAGAAATAAATCAGTTATAATCTGTCCATTTTTTTAATGAAAATAGAATCCGAAATTTACGTCCATGCCGTACAGGCAGTTTAATTGAATAGAGATTTAAAAGTTACATATTTTGCAGTGTACTTCAGCTTTGTTATATTCCCCATTTGATTTGATAGTAGGATGACAAATCGTCCGCTCGTGTCGATTCCAGCTGGTACATTTAGCGGACTCTCCAATCTAGAATATCGGTAAATTTGATATGCTTCGTATCTTCTTTGTGGTGAAGAGTATATATCCTGCAAGCCATATGTGGATCTAAATAGGAACCAATCTCACTCTCGCAAAGACTTATATTTGTAGTGTTTTTCAGCTTTGTTATTCTCCATGTGATTCGACAGGGAAATGGTAAATCTTCCGCTCGTGTCGATCCAAGCTGGTGCTCTCGAAGGACTCTCCAGTCTCGAAGCCCTGTAAGTTGGATATTGTTGCTGATGTCAAAAAGAGACACTAAAAGCTTCATTTACATTTCAATCTATTTAAACAAGAATCAATCTTACACTAAGCAATATTTAAATCTCATGCTAAAAAAGAGATTTTTTTAAGCAATTTTTTTTATCATATTTTTAATTTGGACGTGGCAATGTCTTTACAGCTTCTTTTTTAATTATAGTTTGCAAAATGTAGATATTGCACAAGCACAGCGAGTTTTAAAGGGTTTGGTAAAGACATTATCGACCAAGGGACACGTTGTGCTAAACAAAAAAGGCCTGAATCAGTGAGTGTAATTAGAAATTGGGATTTTACGTACGTTTTATTATCAGTAAGTTAGTATGCTGGGCTGATATTCTACAAATATTTGTTAAAACTTCGTCATTAAGCCATTTAAACTTTGCAATTCCCATGAATGAGGATTTTTACAATGTATTGCTATCATACAAAAATAATATAAGTGATGGCAATTCCAGAAAACTGATAAAAGATGTCCAATAAGATTTCCCAAAACTTATATCTGCAACCTTATAAAAACAATGTCGATTTTCCCATCGAGTCCAAACATTAGTTTTAGGTAATTTTTAGGCTATTAAATATAAATTGGCCAACTTTACTATTTGTTTATAACGAGCCTGCGGCTCGACGGATCAATGGTTGAACACATGAACATGTTTGAAAGACAGTTAACATGAAAGAAAATAGAATGCCGGTTGCTTAGAATATATGGGTTTCGAGAAGGCCTAGGCCTACATTGGCAAAATGTAAAGACAATATTTAACGTCTGATCTTTTTCAGTATCCTGCTTAATATATCAGGCACGTTGACTAAGCTTGATAAAGTCGCCTCTGATGGGTTACCAGCCTTGCAAGAAGCGTAAGTCATTTAGTTGTTCTTAAAGTATAATCGATTGTAATAGTTTTATCATGCCCAAATGGTGCTTAGGAAAGTGATGTTTTTCGGTAACCAATTCGTACCGATTAATGAGAGCATCAAACAGCGGCGGCGGAACGGTTTTCAAACTGGGGGGGGGGGGGGGGGGGGGGGGATCACCAAAAAGGGGCACTTGCTCAGAAAAAGGCAACATCCGTCGGTGCAGCAGCGTATACAGCATTTAAATTGTTTGGCACATCCGTGCTGAAATGTCGACACGTTTTTTTGACCGGACACTTTGCCTCCGTGAAATCAAATAGTGTGTGTGTGTTTGTACAAGCATTGCATTCACTGTGTGGACTTCCGACAAAAGATGTCCACATAAACCAGGTAGCAGCGACGTTGTGTGGACTTGCCCACGTTCACACAAGGTTTTCCCTCTCTGGAAAACAGGTTTAGAGGCATTTTTGAGTTACGTTTATTTGTGGCAAAATGTGGCAAAGGGAATCATAGAAAAAAATTTGGGTTGAAAGAGGTTTCACAGTTTGAGTAAAATGAGTTTTTTCACTGGATGTTCTTAACTACACGAAAACAAATGAATGTCTACTCCGCACTAGGTATGTAAAACAAACATGCCTGTGTGTGCGTGTTTATGGTGTAAATCGAGCACACACACGTGCAACATCATCGATGAATTGAGGACAGGAACCAAATCGAGGACGACCTCGATTAGAAAACGTGTACAAAACCAATGAGAGCTGTTGCAAACAAATTAGAGTATAAACAAAGGAAAAGGGAAGAGGAACAATAGGAAAATCCTCGATTTACACATTAAACAAACGTATGTGTGTGCGTGTGTGGGGGGGGGGGGGCTGGTACTATCTTCCGAAATAGGGGGCGCTCTTCAAAACCGGCCATTATGCAAACTACGCATGATGTGCCCATTTTCAAGGCGCATTGTAAGGGTTTGGGGGCTTGGTTTTTATATTCCTCGTTCATATCACAACTCTTTATACCATTTTGGGAAATGGTAACTGAAAACAAATTATCCCAAATGTTATGGTCAGTTTTGTTTTCATCTCGAGGGGCCACATTTATGCTCGAAGGGGCACATCGGATGTCCGCAAAAGGGGGACTTGGGTAAATCTAGGGGGCAAGTTTCCCGCCCCCCCAGCCCCCCCCCCCCACCCCCCCCCCCCCCCCCCCCCCCCCCCCCCCCCCCCCCGTTCCGCTGCCCCATCAGATTATATCCGCAGTTCTATCAAGAAATGTGTTAACCCTATCAGGACCGGGGAAGGCACAATGTGCCCCCTCTCCCATATTTTTGCTCATAACTTTTTAACGGTGCAGCCGATCACCACCAAATTTGGTGACTTTTCCTAAATATTATCTAGGGTCATAATAAAAAACAATCAAGGGGTGGTTCGTTGTTGCCATAGCAACCGTTTGTTTTACATTGGTTCCCAGTTTTCACGTAATTTTAATAAACTAAATGTTTTAATATTTATTTCTACACTATAAAACTAATTGTCACATTGTTATTAATTTATTTATCAGATAGGTGATTGAGAAGTGTCACGTGACAAACATGTTTCCCAAATTTAATGACATATTTTTTGGCCAAAGAAAACGGAAAATACGGGGAAAAACTATTTTTGACCAAAAATGGGCAAAAATGTCCCCCAAAACGCCCTCTATGGACGATTTTTTTGGAAAAAATGGCAACCTGTAGAGTTTGGTCAAAGGTTAATTTCTACCAAGTTTTTAAAAAATCGGTCATTCACTTTTGAAAATATAGAGGGGGGGGGGGCACTACGTCCCCGTAGGTCCGAAAAAGCCAGGTCCTGACAGGGTTAATGCACTGCACGTATAGTGTTCAATAAACATTCATTTCATTTTCAGAGTCGTTGATGACTACCGTCTTTGCTGTGCCTTATCCAAGTTGCATCACTTTTCTATCGAGCACAGTTGTTCAACCACCAAGCCTCAACCAGATTTGATTCTGTGCGATAGCCTTATGCCAAATAACATACTACGAGCGGTGTTGTGGGTATTGGGAATAAGTGCCCTCATTGGTAATTTGGCTGTCCTGTTTTGGAGGCTTAGGCAGAAAGGGGTCGGAGGGGGTAAAAAGACGCTATCACTTATGGTTGGAAATCTGGCGCTCGCAGACGTCATGATGGGTGTGTACATGCTAATCATAGCTGTTGCAGATCTTACATTTGGCGAGGACTACTTTCTTGTGGCCCCTGAGTGGCGCTCCAGCATAATGTGTAAACTTGCTGGAGTTCTGTCGGTTTTGTCCAGCGAGGCTTCGGTGTTTTTTGTGACACTCATCAGCGTGGACTGTTTCCTAGGCATTGTGTTTCCGTTGAAAAACTTCTCTCTCGGGAAAAAATCAACAACAGTCATCATTGTTGTCCTATGGTTTCTGGCACTTTGTCTGAGTATCGTGCCAACACTTTCATTTGGGTCTGATTCTGATGTTTATGGACTTTCTGATGTTTGTATCGGCCTTCCTCTTACAACTAAGGCATCTGATGTGACCACGTCATTTAATCGTCGCCTTGGTATCAGGTCTGGTGACTGGCTTATTTCCCACGGCACAGGTAAGAAAGCATCTTGGATCCTGGCAATCGTTCTCTTCCTTGGCGTCAATCTGGTTTCATTTCTTCTTGTCCTGTGTTGCTACGTCGCCATCTTCATCAGTGTCAGGCGGACGGCCAGTGCCGTCCGAGTGAATGCCCACAGGGAGCGTGAAGTCAAAATGGCGGTCAAGATGGCGCTGATCGTGATGACGGATTTCTGCTGTTGGATGCCAATAATCATCATGGGGATTCTGTCTCAGACGGGAACAGTCACACTATCCACCGAGGTGTATGCATGGGTTGTGGTTCTGGTTCTTCCAATCAACTCGTCCCTCAATCCTTTCCTTTACACTTTCTTCACAGTTTGTTGCGCGACTAAACCGAAGGCCAAACCACAGAAAAGGAATCAAACAAACCAAAATTAGAACAAAGTGCAACAAACACAAAGGCTGAGGCGGGTAGTCTATTTGCCCCCAGCAATAGGTAGCACATGCCTGCTTCGCCCCCTCCTTGACAGATATACTCCTCCCCCTTGAGCCAACACTGGATCCGTACCTGCAAACGTACACAATGCAGTGGTTCGGCTCACAACATAATAATACATATGTTTGTTTAAATTTCAAAGTGATTTCTAGTAGCTGTGCGAAAGCCAAGGCGAAAACTTAACTTACTCTCGTATCAGTACTGACCAGACCGGCATATTTTTCAATCCACGGACTAAATTGTGTAACATTTCCATTTCGTTCATTGACTGAGGATAAAGCAAACTGCTCATTACATACTGTGAATAACTAATTAAAGACGAATAACTTATTAAAGACGATAACTATACAATGATTTTTCCCGATTGATTTGCATCAAAGCCTTACAGATGTTATCATGATGTGTGTTGTTCACATGTTGTGACAATCTTCGCATTCTGCACTACACGCGTGATTGTTGGCCAGTCGTGTTTGTTGAGTTTTTGAGGATTGTGCTTCAATTGTTGGTTATATTAAAGTGAGGGGGGCGTTCAAAGGTGTCTTCAGGAAACATTCAATGAGGGCGCTCTGCAAAATAGTCTTAGGGCTACCCATAACACCGCAGTTGTATATCTCTCGATGATGTAAGTTCATATGTTTGAAAAAAAACCTTCAAATTTTACAAATGGCAGACATTTACTAAAGGAGCCATGCGATGAATTTTACGCTGAATCATTTTTTGAATATCCTTCTACTCTTAATTAATGTATGATAATAATGTTACTTGTTATAATTTTAAGAAGGCCATGGTGTGTCCTAACAACTGAGGGCGTTGCTTCTGTACTTACACTTTGGGCCGACACTGTACAGTGTTAAGGACTATGAATCCAAAATGTAGCCCATAAATTTAAAAAGAAATGCGGTACATAAATAAAGCTCATTGACTTGCTATCGGATACTAAATCAACAAATAAATTAATACAGAGGATTGATGCAACACTAAACCGAAGCATCAGACAAGTTGAAATGCTGATTCAACTGTAACACTGTAAATATACATTCTACGATTAGTTATTTGCATAGTTATATAAATATTTGCATACGGCAAAAAGAAAAGAATATTCACATACTAAAAAAAACACAGTAGATTCATAATTTTAAACTCTTGTGAGAATTGTTTGTGAGAATTTTTTTCATTCTAAATTTTGCATGATTATTGGATTTTGAAGTACAGGCCGCATGTTATGTTGTATTAAATGTAATTTCATGTCGATTAGTTAATTTAGCATCAGTGCCATATATACGTAAGTCTTTTGCTGTATAAAATGCTAATGTTAAGAAGTCGTTAGTAATAATTTGTTATTGTACCGTAGCTTAAAAGTACCGAAAACGGACAATATTAACTGTACAGTATTCTATACATTTTTGGATTGAGAAATTATAATCAGTGTTAGTTTCGATTCATTTGAGCATTAAAGTGGAAAAGGAAAAGACCGCAGGTGATTGCATGGTTCAAGAAAGGCCTAATTTATAACATTTACTTGTGATGTACTTTTCAGAAATTGATGAATTTAGGGGTTAATATTTTATAGCAAATATTTTTACACTGACCTATTTAAAGTTGTATGTTCACAGATGCTGTAAAAGAATGCTGTTCTTGTACAGTCTGGTTTCCTGACCTCACTTCAGACGAAACGGAGCAATTTATCGGGAAACTGTCGGGTCAGGGAACCAGACTAGCTGGCTTGCACCTAACGGATGTGTAACCGATTGCAAACAAAATGTGGACTACCTAATTTTGGTTAAATGGGGGCAGTATCTGAAAAGGGGTAAGTTTTCACAACGATGGTCGGCTGACCATCTTTGAAAATTAATATGAAAATTCCACTTTTCTTTCAAATGACAGCACACAAGGTGCCATGATTTCACAGGATGCTTGAGACTATTATTCACTTACAGGCAAGGAAGGTATTTCAAAATAATTTTGGTAGTTTTCTTGTTTGAGGTTTGCAATGTTGTACACTACCGTTAAAAATGCGTTTAAACATTTGGTACCGTAGTAACTTTTATTCTTTTTTTTTTTATACTGTGAGAGCATAATCAACACCAATGACGAGAAAACATTCGAAAACAAACTTGGCTGATTAAGGAACACGTTTATTTACTAGGTCAGGCTGATGTACATAAATTGTGGCTCTCAAAATAAACGCTGTATGTAAAATGTGAAAAAATTGTAAGCTTCATAAATTAAGAGTACCTCCACATGTCTGTCTCAGCTCGTTTAGATGAAGGAAATTAGGACTATATCGCATGAAATAATATAAAAGCTTTCACGCCAAATGAAATCGACGACACAACACGATGAGGTTATTAAATAGAATTAACAAATGAATGGAGAATGATTGATTGGAAAATGATGTAGCCGATAGATCTAAACTGTCTTCATAATATAACAATAACATAATAGAAAAAGAAATAATGATATTTGAATTCTCCAATAACTGGCAGTAAATATGATTTGAACCGCTCTCAATCCTAAGGGGAGAAAATAGAATAAGTGATGGGTGAGGGGCGGGGCATCTCAGACCAATTTATTTGGAGAGGGGGAGGGGTGGGCTTGCGGGTTTCACCTGGACAACTGGACGCTAGGATACTGGACAGGTTCTGGGCCTGGAGCGCTGTTCAAAGTGGACCACAATGCAGGCCCAGTTGCATCTTATATAAGGGGTGTAGGTGTGGAAACCTTACCCCCAATTTCCCCCACCCCACCCCACCCCTCACGCCCCACCCCCACCCCGTCCGCTGCTTACTAATGTTATGATTCTAGTACATTGGGTCCAAAAATCATAAATAGAATGCTAAAGCTATTAGCCGCTTGCACAGCAAGCATCTGTCATCTATGACATGCGTGAAGGATCGGTGATTAATTTTATGCAAAACAAGACTGCGCCTTGACCTCAAACATGACCTCTCGAAATATCGAGTAAACAACTGGTTCTTCTCAGAACCACACAACTCAAAAGAGATGATATTCATATGGTGTACGTTACTGCATACATTTGATCTATTCCCAAGACAGTTTCGGGATGAATATTTTGGTAAACTCAATGAAGTTTTGCGTAGTTTGTGTTCCACAGTCTTGCCGACTAGAAGTTTTGGCTTGTCTTTTAGACAAGCAAGGCACCGTTTTGATGTAAATACAGCCTTCTTCAACTGATCATCTTCAGTCTTCTGGATAAGCTTCTCCTACTTTTTATAGGACGTATCTTCAGGAAAGTACCTAAGGCTAAATGACGATGAATCATTTGGTTCTGTGAGTGCTCATGATGACTTGACTAGTTGGTTATGTTTAAAAACTTCAATGAGCTTCCATTTTTCATTTCAATTCCACTAAATTCTCTGTTTTTTCCTCCTAAGTTTAATAAGTTCCTAAGTTCAATGCAAGTTCAACTGATGAGTCATGAATTTGACGAAAGGGCAATTAGCAGCATTTGACATGGAATTTTAAATGTGATAACATTTTGTTCACTTTGATGATAAAAATGTTGGTACATTCCAATGACGAAAATTTACCACTGAATTTTGCCCCAAGAATTTGTGAGAGGGCCCAAAGCTGCTGATTGGCCTCTTGAACAGAGCATTATGTACATGGACGGTGTACTCAAGTACCCCCTCAACGGTAACAGAGAGAGAGAGAGAGAGAGAGAGAGAGAGAGAGAGAGAGAGAGAGAGAGAGAGAGAGAGCTGGGAGATACCTGGAGGCTTTTGTGCCCATCAGGAGACATTTACATGTAATCCTGAACGTATAAACACTGCCTTATGGGGTTACGGAACAATGAGAGGTACCCCACAAGGAATGCCCACCGGGGTAACGTTTTGGTACCCCACAAGTTTTTCACGAAATAGATATATGGATTTTACTCAGAAACTATATAGGAGTTTCCAAGGTGGCCTGATCCGTCGCAAATGGAAGAGTTTTGGAAAAGGGATATTAAGTCCGAATTTCAGCCCAGGAAATTAATTCTGGTTAAAATAAGAGCATTTTGGAATTAGTGTGCGACATTGCACAATTTTAGTTCACGAGAACAAAGAAAGTACGCCACTTCTATGTCTGTGTAAGCGAGTCCTGAATCGGGCCAGTGTTGGTCCTTTTACGGCAAACCATAATGGCCGCCATATTAAGTAGCCTATCTGGACAAACTGACCATTTGACACGATCCTAAATACATGTAGTACTAATCCAAATTGTTTAAATGTGTTCCATGACCCTGAAAATATATGTTTAGACACCAAGATTAAGATACCGTGACTTAGTGGCTTAAAGATGCAATACACGCATTCGGAGATTTAGGTTTTAAATGGCGGCCATGTTTTAAATACAAGATGGCCACAATACTGTATTTGGACAATCTAACCATTTGAAACTATCCAAAATGGTACAGTTCTATTCCTTGACCCTGAAAATGTATGTTTAGACACCAAAACATTGATCCTAAGTGGCTTTGAAGATGAGATATTGGTAGATATAGGTTTTTAATGGCCGCCATCTTTAGATCCAAGATGGCCGCCATAATGTTATTGGATAAGTTGGTTCCTATCAAAAATTGAAAGCTAAGGCATTGAGGAGCATGTATGGACAATTTGGCGCTTTTGTCCGGAATGTCCACATCCATTCACTAAGCTGCCTGACTCACTGGGCATGGACCCGAAGAGATGAATCGGAACGTGCATCCGTGTGGTTGCGAAGGCCTAAGCGTCGCCGTTGCTCAACAAAGTTAATCCTATTACGTACTTGGACGCCATAACGGAGCAGTGAAATTCATGCACCCCCAAAAAACATCATGCCTTTTGAACGTTGCATTTCTAAAATTTCTAAAAAAAAAATGCTTAGTATTGATTGGAATGTTAAATTATAGTAACGGAAGAAAATCTAAATTCTACACTGCTACACTGCATGTCAGTGAAAAAAAATCGCCGCCATCCATGCTGAAACGACAATTCGGGTTACTGACCTTAACGTCAATTTCTAGAAATCTCCTCAAGTTGTTATTTCACGAGTAGTTGAACACTTATATCATCTAAGTGTATTTCAGCTTAATTTGTTGTTGCAAACGCTTGTGTTACACCTTGGCCCTAAGAACCGCGCCTGAAGATATGGTCTTCCAAACGGGAGAAATGAATTTTCAAAGATTTCGCCAGCCGGGTTGAACGTGTTTGTTGCTTCATTAAAAATAAAGTATTACGCCACGTAACCTTTAGAAATCTGCCTTCGCAACCACACGTTCGGCTGAAAAATCCAGACTTTCGTCATTGAGCACGTGGGCCCGTCATGCCCGGGCGGGCAGTGTTTTGTTTAGCCACAAAATCTGCGCAGAAAAAGACAAGTCCACTATTAGGCCCCCCAAAAAAATATTCGGTCTCTGGTCAGACCAAAGTTCCGGAATTGACGCAGGGATGCGGCTTTTTTTTGGGGGGGGGGGCTTTTTTTTTTCTTCAAGCTTGGATTGTATAGACAAGGTGGGGTACTATTTTGCTTTTTTGGTGTCCTCGTGTACATTGGTGTCCTCCATAATTTGCCTTGGTGCTCTCGATCATTTGCCTTGGTGCAATTTCCCATTCCTTGGTGCTTTTTGGTAAAAAAAAAAATTGAGCAGGTGCGGCAATAGAGGGCGCTGTTGGAACTACCGCGGAACATTTTTGAAAAAAAAAGATTGACGCGCATGATTAAAATCGACGCGCGCGCTGACCAGAGACCGACTTATTTTTTTTTTGGCCTTACAGTGTTTTGTTTAGCCACAAACTCTTACGGTTGGTCAAGTGGTGGCGCTGTTGCAAGTTACAGCTGCGTAAAATTTTACTAGCGTGCACGTGTGGAAAGTTTGTGGAGCGAGCGTCGGGGAACGTCGTCTATATTTGTCGCGTTCCTAAATTAACGTTAGAGCTAGAAGATACGGAAAGAATGAGATTTGCTGATGTGTTTACATGCCTGTTGATGTTTCTGTCCAACTAACTGGTAGTGTCAGTTTCGTTAATGTCGAGAAAACAATTGGCATTCATTGCCCCATGGAGCTGTCAAGTGACACTCGCCCGACTCGGGTCCGAGACGCGTACGGGCCCACGTGTTCAAGACGATATGCTGACCTGCTGGTGCTGCTGGTAAGAGAGGCCGGGAGTATTCGACTGGATAAGGGAAATTTGGTCCATTAAATTTTAAAATAGGGGGAAGAAACTCAAACTCCAAATGGATGACAATTTTTTTGTAGCATAAGATTAAGGCTAAGCACTTGCCTTTATTTTACCTGGTTGACATGACTACATGTAGCTTGAGTAACTCCAGCTGACATGCTCATATTCCATGTATTCATTCACATGTAGCGCCGGAGACATAACTAGGGAGTTGGAGTGTGGTAGCAAGAGACCCTTCCGGAATGGCCTCCCAAAAATTGTCCCTTTTCACCTCTAATATCCCACTGCAGATTTCATTTACATACCTCATACATTCAGCAGTCATTCACGAAGCTACTGATCGACTTGAAACAGACCACAAAAAAAATAAAAATGTGAAAAATCTTGACGATCTCGGTGGCTTGTCCGTAAAGAAATGTCCAGTTCCAACGGCTGTCGTCCATTTTGTTTGGTTAATTATGTAAATGCATGCATCACATGATGACATCGAAAAACAATCTGCGCGCGCGGTGTATGTGGGTACCACACCGCTAATACGCTTTCAGGCGCCACAAGTGGGTTCAGTTTTCGTCACGGCTGCGTTGTCGCGGAAAGCAAGACAACGAGATTGCTTTCCACGACAACGCACCAGACGAAAATTTCACATTTGTTTTTTTGTGTGGTCAGTTTCAAGTCGATCATTAGCTTCGTGAATGACTCGGGCGCATTTTATTTTGCAATTAGTAACGGGCGGTTGAATTCTCCCCCAGATCGCATATACCCACGCTTACCCTACATTGTACCTGCAGATTGCCGCCCAGGCCATTGCTCTTTAGAAAATGCAAGGCACTCAAAGTCTCATCGATCGGATTGAAACTCCAAAACTGAAGGTAGGCCTACATGTATTATTAAAACCATGTGTCACATGTCATTCGCTTGGGAAATCCTACTTCTACTCTACATGTAGTTCTAGAATTAGAAGCACTCGTGTGCGCTTTAACTGCTAAGTTCTAGCCCTGTGTTTTTTGGAGGGTCAATGGAAACATTTTCATTAGTCGAATGCATGTTGGGATTGGAAGACAAACGAACACAAATCTATGGGGCACAAATCTATGGGGCCGAGTACCAGTTACAGTACAACTTTCATGTGATTGATTCCATACAAGGCCAACACTCAGACCTCCTGCACATAGTCTACGGGTCATTACAGAAAAAGTTAAAGTATTATAAAAAAAAATGTGCACACTAAAATAGTGTTTCTTCATCAGATCTAAATAAAACTTGTGGCACTTTTCAGGTCATATTAATAAAATTAAAGAATATGAAAGGTGGCCTTGTATGGAATTCTTTCCCAAGAATTTAATGACTATTTTCTTCACATATTTTCAACATGGACTAGCAGATATAAAAATTGAATTTGAAAATGTGCATTTGTCCCCATAACACGCTAATTCCACTTAGGACTCGCCCGGCCCAAACCTTGCCCGGCATAACCACCACACAGGTCCTTGAAGAAAATAACGATCCACGATGAAGATTCAGCCTCCAATTGCAGTGAGAAAAGGGAACATTACCGACAGCCGATCAATAAGCGTTGGCGGCCAGAGCTGCAATTGATTTGTGCACAAACAAAATTTAGTGTACAAAGGAATGGCCATTAATTTGTTGACCTGAGCCAATTTAAAGAATTAGTTGTGGGGATTTCTCATATCGGTCAATCATCACACCAAATATCGTTTCAATCTGTGAAGGTCCAGTGCAAAATCGTGTTGAAATGACACAGAATGACCCAAATAGCGTCCTCTTTTGCCCCTCCCTGAGCTCCCTTTGACTGGGTGGGGTCCGCTCATAAGTCCGACGCCTCATAAGATAGCATCACAAGTCCGAAATTTCGGACCTATGAGGCGTCGGCCTTACAAGGCATAAAATTTATTTCCACCTTGTACGGTACATGGCAGGTCCGACGACGCATAAGTCCGACTCCTCATAAGTCCAAAACAGCGTTTGTCCATTGTCAGACTTATGAGGCGTCGGACGTACATGTACATGTACGAGGGGTCGGACCGCTAGACGGAATGTATGCCTCATATAAGTCCGACGCCCATGAGTCCAACATTTCAGACTGATGAGGGTTCGGGATTATGAGGCGTCAGACTTATGATATGGCCCTGACTGCGTAGCCATTAAATTTGGACTGAATGTTACAACCTGATGCCACTTTTTCTTTATATCATCTCAATAAAGGTCAGTCATTGCAAAAATGTTTAAAAGACATGAACCTGGGACTGAGAAACATTCCCATTTTCTTGAGTCTCCCTAGATTCCTTGAATTGTAGGGTGTGAAGACAAAAGAGGGCAGTATTAAGCAAAATCAGTGACCAATGGAAATTGCAGCTTTGGTCTAAGAATGGCCTGTGTGCGACAGTCGTCCTGATGATTAGGGCTCTGAATCTTTTTAGATTTCTGGAAAAACTGATGTAGCCCAATGTTTTTGCCAATTTGATGCCATTTGATGAGAGAAGGGAGATTTGTAGGAATGATATGGCTTGTAGGGACAGAGCAACATTCAATTGAAAAAAGTCACTTTTGTGTGTCACCAGAATAGAAAATGTCAATATCGCGCCACATGTACCAGTAACAGTTAAGAAATACTTTGAAAATGCACTCAGCTCTCCATAGACTGAGCACTATAACAGACAATAGAAATTCTCTAAGCCCCCCACAAAAACCACCAAATAAACAATCTTAAGTCCCAGTTGTACATGTACATGTACATGTATTACTCTAACTTTTTAATAATGTAACGCCTTGAGCATCGGTCCAGGTGAATATTTGCGCTTTATAAATACCCACTATTATTATTGCTATTATTAAACACATCTCAGCACTGAGAGTTTGTTCAGAACGGGTGGATTCTTTTGAGGTTTTACATTGGGAGAGACTGCGAATGCAGAGCACAAAACGACGTCGCTTGGCATTAAGTGATTTTTAAAAAAAATTCGGCACAAGCACAAGTTGCCGCCAAGTTTTATTTTCCACAGCAATTATTAAACCACATAGTAAAAGCACAAATGGGAGATTCATTCTGACAGTAATCTGACTCATTCGATATTTGATATCATTCCTCAATATCGGAATTGTTTGATATTTCGATATAATTGATAAATTGCCACTTGTATCATTGATATCGACATCATAATACTATTAAATAATCAAGTACATATTGATATTTCGACGCTGCTTTAACCCCACTCCAGTCAATTTCTATGTTCAACTTTTCTAAAATTATTAAATACTTTAGCATGTCAGATTCCCTTTTGTGGTTCCTAGATGCGTATTTTTTTATTGTGACGTTTAACACGTTTTTTTTATTATTATAGTACTGAATACAGATCCGATCTAGTTTGAAGCGCAGTCTTCCAATGTTGCTGCATACAAGTTCCTGTGCCGGTCCAGTTCCTGTTCTGATGTAGCAGCCTTCCCAGCCCATGACTCTGTTCAGGTTTGGTGCATGTAACTCAGCCCTATCCCCTGTTTCCTTGCTCCAAGGCAGGTAAGTCTTGTTTTAAACATTTATGGACCAGGTAATGTTTTAATTGAAATTGTACATGTACATGTACAAATATTTTCCCATAGTCACCAAAACGTACGGGATTATGCTGTGATGATTTCGATAATATTCAGCAAAGGTAGTATTTTAAAAAAAGTTTTACTTTTGACCCTCAATGAAGCTGTTGTTTACCAATGGAATTATACCAAGATTTCAGATCATGTAAACAATGCATGACAAATTATATGAAGCTACTTCCATCAGCTTTGTGAAAGAGAATAACAAAAAACAAAGTCACTTTCAGAATGTTACTACTATACTACTACATGTACTATTTTATTTCTCGGGAAAATATCAACAAATACATGTAAACAAATGACTAAAGTTACAACACAAAACAACAAAAGCTTTAGATACATAAACAAACAAACAAAAACAAAATACCATTCAGCTCCCGAAGGATTGCCCAAAAGAAACGTTGTTTCTGTCTAGGGGTTCTCCAAACTGAATGGCATATGTGAAAACAACAAGCAATAAATATAAAAAGAAATTTTAACTATACAAAAAAAAAAAGTTAAATAAGTTACATTAAGTCAAGAACAAAGTTGGTAAATTATATAATTATTAGACAAACAAATCAAAAGCAAAAAAAAAAAATCAATTACATTTGTACTAGGTAAATTAAATGAATAAACAAATTAATATATACATGTACATTGTACTTCAACTACTACCACTACTACATGTACTACTACTACTACTTCTATTAATAGATAAATAAATAATTAGACAAGTTGGTAAGTTAGCCTAATTAATTAATTAATTAAATAAATGAGTAAATATTGCATTTTTAATTCTTTAAATAAATAGTTATTAATAAATAAACAAAAAAAAACAAACAAAAACAAAAATAAGCTGGAGGCGGAAGGCACATGCTGCGGCCAAAAGCTTTTGAGGGAATGCAGGATCATCCTTGATGTCATTGCACACCTTCTCGATTGTGTGTTGCACCAATCGACTGAGGAGGCGTGCAATAACATCAGGGGTGATCCTGCATTTCTTCAGAAGCTTTTGGCCACAGCATGTGCCTTCCGCCACCCTCTCCAGTGCTGTACATGTACATGGGAAGAGGTTAAGTCGAAAGTAGCAGATTCTGAGAGCCTTTTTTTTCCGTATTGCACTTAAATCCAACCCTCTTGCACAAAGCTGACGAAACTCGCTCTATAAAATTTGTCATGTCCCATTTACATGATCTGAAATTTTGGTTTAATTCCATTCATAGGATCAAAAGTAGGACATGTTTTTTTTTCACATAGTACCTGATATATTACTGTTACACTTCACGTTACAAAAGCGATGTAGTGAGAATGAATGTCGCCATTGCATCTTGGCACTTCAACTGTCTTTAGTTTCTGCTCTTGCAATTTGAGCTGGAGAGCGTCATGTCTGATGGTGGATAGAAACGGATCTATCATTACAATGTAACAACAGTGTTCCATTTCCTGAGACTTCTCCAAGATGACGTCCCTGGTTTGTCTGACAATCTTCCTTATTAAAGTTAATTGTGCATCCTTCTCAGTGAGAAGGATGTATGTATCTAAAGGTTTTAAAGTTGCCCTTCATGAGTTACGTGGAGTACCAGTAACTTAAACAGTCAAGACATACAATGTAGCAATATCATCTAATCCCTGGATGTATGGCTGTGGTAGACTTGCTCATTTTTCACCGTTTCTCCTTCATAACAGGTTTTGAGCAAAGTTTGGCTTATAATTCATCCACTGCTGTGCAAGGTCCTCTCCCTATTTTGCAAAAGTTCCAAGAACTTTCTTGTGTTTAATCTTTCTCTCGTAGCTTTATTCATCTTTTGAATGATATGCTGCTTGTGGATTATTTTGTCAGTTTGGAACCCCAGTCCTCTTCACGAGTAGGTAAAATTTGAAAATGTTGTTTGTCATGGAATCAATGACATGCTTGGTACAGAGTCGTATCAGTACGGATGCCTTTGGCTGAGAATGTTTGAATCTAACATTGTTCCGACTTAAATTATCTGGTTTCAGACGTGTAACTTTTGGGAAAAATGCCCCCCCCCCAAAAAAAAAAATAAATATTGTGCAGAATGTACAGTAGTGCATTTAGAACCAACGATAAACTTCCAATAAAAAACATTCCCAGGACCTTGTTTCAATTCGGTGCTTCTGGGCCAAACTTGGAAAATGTTCGCAAACTTATGCTACCGATGTTTTAATACTCATGCCTGACCAAGTTAAAATGAGGTAGTACCTGCTCATGTGCTATTGTCATTTGAATTCCCCTACTGAATAATTCATAGCGTTGGACCGTTTATCTAAATATCAGTGGAGTCTGCAACCTAAAACTACATGTACATGTATGCTTGTTGTCCAAGTATCATGCGAGTACATTTGTATAAGAGGATGATCATCAAGCCGATTTGCCAAAAGAAACTTGAGATCGTTGTAATACTTGGTCAATCTGTGGTTATTCTAAGGTACAATCCATAAACAGGTAAAAACTATTTCACAGCCGTGAAAGATGACTGCCTGTCAGACTGTGAGGAATTGTTGTAGTTTCAGCAGCTTCAATTTGAAACAAAATAGGCCGAGTTAAAAACACTTTCCAATAAAAAATAAACACATGATAAAAGCCGATGAAAAATAAAAGCCCAAATAAATTATTCAGGAATGTTTGCCTTGCTCAATTCAAAGAGCATTTACAGGAGTGACAGGAAGGTAAGCGGATTCCGCTTACGATAATCCGCTGAGTCAGTGGTCCTAGTACAGGCCCATTGTTATACTTTGCAAATGAGACTAAAGGGCTCACTGCTGACCCGTAACTAAGGACCACATTTAGTCAGCGAGCTCTGCTGAGTCAGTGGACAGTCATTATTGATACGAACCCTTATTGAGTGTGATCCCCGTCAGCCCCCCTTCTGTCTTTGAGTCCCGGTTTGCCGTTTGCTCTATGGTCTGGTCGCAGGGTACTTGAGAAAACCCATGCTGCTGCTGTCGCTGTACAGAAAATTCTCCGCACATTAAAGTGCTTGAATACTGACTTGTGTTTGGTTGAAAGTTCATTCATCTCCATCCAGAAGACAGGCAAATACCTGGAATAGTTAATCCTGTCGACTGCCATCATCCAGGGCATCATGGATCGAACCGCTGATGACACGAACTGCCAATTCCCCTCCTGGGTCCCTCTGATGAAGGATGAACAGAAGCAAGGTTTGGACCATGTTGATGTTGTACACCACATGGCAAAGGTTGGTTTTGCCTGGTTCTGTGACACCCACTTGTCATACTCTAAGAGGATGTCATGAAACTCATCAGAGCAAATACCTGTTCCATGAATGAGTCTGATGGGTATTTGTGTGCAAAAGATTTGATGGTTTTCAGTGTCTCGTGAACTTTTCCTTGTAGCGTCTTCAGATATGCCTGCAAGCGCAATCTATGCAGTGCCTCATAAATGATCTTGTGTATCCTGATACTTAGATTGTAGTGGTGACCACTCATAGCAGAGTTGATGGACCCTTGACCGACAAGTTCAGACTCCACAGCTACATTGTGTACATCTTCCAATCCAGCATCTCTGAAACATTTCCCAATACATGCCAAAAATGCCATAGCTGTATGGAATTCCCAAAGATGAATGACCAACCTTTGCATGAAAATAGCATTGCTCTATTGAATCTGTTGGGCTTTGGCATGGCTTGGTCAAAGACCCTCCAAACCAAGGCAATCGGCTATCTGGAAACTGCATAGCAAGATGGTGTATGCTGTGGAATATTCTGTCGGGCTAGCATCAATGACTGGTAGATATCCTATGCTTGACTGGGGAAGGATGTCAGTACTTTGTAGCAGCTAATTAAAGCCTGTCCAGCCTGGCAGTTGAGGACCTCCAACTTAAGGCAACTTGGATATGATGAAAGCCATGTCAAGCTTCTTTGGCAATCTCTGTGTTTGCAAGAGATCAAATTCTTGGGTTTTAACTTCTTCTGCAAATGGTCAAGGTCCCTTCTTCCTGCTACAGTGGTACTCAGTGATGTCCACAAGAGGAGCTTGGAGTGACCTCTGTCTTGTTTTCTTGCTCCAGGAAGTGGAAGCTTCTGATTGTGTCGGACTTGAGGCTACTCGTACCTCACCATGTTGGATGATTATGCCATTTGTGTTATGAGTTGTTGCTTTTCCTGTCAATGTTTCCTCCCCAAAATTGTTATTGTCCCAGACAAGTGTGGTGAATGTGTGAGGGCGCATGTTAGGTGGTATTTGGTTTTAGTGCTGCAACTGATCCTCAAAGTTCGGTTCGGTTCGGTTGCGGTTCAAAGTGTACTTGATTGACTGCCCTTACGAAATACTCTTATAAGAATCTTATAAGAATCTTAAAAGAATCTTGTAAGAACCTGAGATCATTCTTATAAGAATTTTATAAGAATCTTATAAGATTCTTATAAGTATTTTATATGCAAATTAGTAAGATCTTATAAGAATCTTATAAGATTCTTATAAGAATCTTATAAGAATCCCAGCGCACAGCCTACGATTTTTCTTATAAGAATCTTATAAGAATCTTGTCAGAATCTTATAAGAATCTTGTGTAATCTTCATTAAAAATGTGCAAAAGATTGTGGGCAAAATTTTGATCAAAAGCAGAATTGGTGAAGTCTAAAGTTGAGCAAGTAAAATTTCTCTGTTGCTTTACATGAAGATTTATTTGCATCTTTACCACATATTAACACCGGTTACTCTTGTTGTTTAAATAAGTTACTTTACCTGAGTTGCAGCATTGAAATAAAATAAAAGGTGATCGTTACAAACACGGCTAATCATACTGATGAATACAAAGTTTAAAAGAAATACTTTGTCGTATAAATATTGCTTCCAGTCATACAAACAGAATCATGATTTGTGTATAAAAACATTACATTTTTTGGTTTTTCTTACCTTGACAATCTTTGGCATACAGTTAAAATGGCAATAACACTTGTAATCTAATGAAATGATAAAAATTATTGGCATAAAAAATAAAACAATACAAACACTTGCATTGAAACAATTGTTCAATACTAACGCTAAATAAGACGAATGAACAGCATGCAGTAACTAAAAAAATTTAAACAAAAAGCTCTGTAAATGAAACACTTTTCTAATTCTAAGTTAAACTTTGAATTGACATGCACTACCCGTGACTGATTTTGAAGATTGCACACTCTATGATTTGAGTTTTAACATGTAAAAAAAGAAATCTGTTGTGTTTTGACAATTGTTTATTGTTTAGAGATAAAATAGC